CTTGTAATCACACAATTCCATTGGCTGGTAAGACCCTGTTGCTAGTTAGCCAACCAGCAACGGGCATGAAACTGTATGCAGATGGAGAAGGGCAATCACCCTTAATGGGCGATCAATGGTGAAGGGCAATCACCCTTAATGGGTGATCAGGATATGCATAGGGGATTAAGGGGGGGGGGAATACAAAGAACACAACACAGGGCACCCCCTTTTGGGTGTCCCTCTGCAGAAGGAAGAACCGAGCACTCGTCTCAACCGTGAACCCTGCCTGTTTGTCTCCGGATTGCAGCCCCCTCCCCTCCCCAGTACTACCCTGAGCGATTGGTAGAGACCCCAGTTTGCCAGGAATCACAGCCTGTAATTCTCAAAATGTTGACTCTGTATGTGTTTGTCTGACCTGACATCGTTAGGTGCCACTTTATAATGCCTTGGTAAGACCACACTTGGAATATGGCATCCAGTGTTGGTCACCACAATAGAAAAAAGATGTTAGGATTTGGCATAAAGTTACTTTTTCATCACTCTCACATCTGTGTCTGTAAGACCACACTTGGAATATGGCATCCAGTTTTGGTCACCACGATACAAAAAAAAAGATGCTGAAACTCTAGAAAGAGTGAAGAACAACAAAGATAATTAAGGAACTGGAGGCTAAAACATACGAAGAACGGTTGTTAAGGAATTGGATATGTCTTGTTTAATGAACAGAAGGATTAGGGGGTGACATGATAGCAGTCTTCCAGTATTTGAGGGGCATCCACAAAGAGGAGGAGGTCAAATTATTCTCCAAAGCCCCTGAAGGCAGGACAAGAAGCAACGGGTGGAAACTCATCAAGGAGAGAAGCAACCTGGAACTAAGGAGAAACTTCCTGACAGTGAGGACAATTAACCAGTGGAACGGCTTGCCTCCAGAGATTGTGGGTGCTCCATCACTGGAAGTTTTGAAGAAGAAATTGGATAACCATCTGTCTATCTGGAATTGTATAGGCCAGGGTCTCCTGCCTGAGCAGGGGGTTGGACTAGAAGACCTCCAAGGTCCCTTCCAACTCTGCTATTCTGTTATTCATAGAAGAAGTTGGAAAGGGGACCCTTAGCTAATCCTCAGCCCCAATGAATGCCTAAATGGAACAGACTAATTTTTTTAAGGCTCCTGTTTTGCTTTTTCTCTTCGGTGTCTCTTCTGTGGAGAAGAAAAGCAATCCGCCCCACCCCACTTTTAATCCTGTGAATCACCTTGGCTGCCAAAAATGGGGGGGAAAAAGTCATAAACACATAAAATGCAAACCATCAATCTCTTATAAAAGATACAGGACTTTCAGTTGTCTTATGACACGGATGCTATGATGCCTCATCAGTCAAATAAAATGTATCTTATACCTTTTTGCCCTGGGATTCCTGCAGAGGAGATCGAAGCATTTCTAACTACAGGCAATTTTTTTAAAAAAGGGGGGGAGGATGCTGCTGCGTCAGGATATTTCCTGATTTTGTTGAAATCCCTTTTGAGCAGAGCAAGATACATACGTGGCTGTGGGAACTGCGGTACCCCTGAAGATATTGCATGTAGTTTTCATTAAAACTTTTAAACAAGAACATTGAAAACTAACACAAACAAATATAAAGCAAGGAAGAAAAAAGAAAAACCAAAAAGTGGAAAAAAGAAAAAAAGTTAAAGAAAAAAATAGAAAAGAAAGAAATACTAAGACGTAGCTTCATACATCCTTCACAGCAGTTATACTTACAAATAGGTTGGAATCTCTCTCTCTAAAGTTACATTAATCTTTCTATGATCTATGGCTCTCACCTTCAAAGGGGGATCCAATCTGAAGGAGAAATCCTCTGAGACACCCGTGGTCTCTTTTCCAGCTTATATACCAGGGCTTGTATGGTCACACCCAAAAGGGCAAGATGAGGTGATTCAAAAGAGGGTGTTACTACCCAGAAAGCAGGTAAAATCTCCCCACCCTCCCTCCCCTTATTGTGTTTTTAATCCTCTTTTATACTGTCCAGAGTTGCTATAGAGTCAAGCAACACTCAAATCAAATCAAATCAATAAATAATAATTCAAGAAAGGCCAATACATTTGTATGCACATCACCCATACCCTCTTCTCTTTGAAAGTGGGATACTGTTCTGCTAGATCCTTCTCCTTCTCCTTCTCCTTCTCCTTCTCCTTCTCCTTCTCCTTCTCCTTCTCCTTCTCCTTCTCCTTCTTCTTCACCTCCTTCTCCTTGTCCTTCTCCTCCTCCTTCTCCTTCTCCTTCTCCTTCTCCTCCTCCTCCTCCTCCTCCTCCTCCTCCTCCTCCTCCTCCTCCTCCTCCTCCTCCTCCTCTTCCTGCTGATATGTACAGTTGGATGCAATCCCATCTACTTCTTAGGGCGCACATGCTTTGCCTGTCATAGTCCCTGAAATCTTATTAAGCCTGTTTTCCCAACCGGCCACCATTTGGGGTTGAGGGGTGCAAAGCATGTCTTCCCTCTTCTCTTCTCCCCGGGCAGCAAGTGGGCTGGGGGACAGAGAGGGAAGTTGAGTGACTCAGAGCAGAGGGCTAGACGGGTGTTAGTGCCAGTTGCTTTGGGGGCTGGTTCTGAGGGAGGGTGTGATACACCCAGGGACGGGAGGAGAAGGGTCAGCAGTGATGGGTGTTGCTGGGGGAGAAAGGACAGGCAGGGACATCGCAGGGGGGACAGGTCTAGGGAGATGAAGTGGGGGACAAGGGGCCGGCCAGTCTGGGAAGGCAGGTTGGTGTTAAGTGCCCGTTTGCCATCCTTCACTCGCTCCAACCACTCCTCCATCACAGCTTTGAGACTCCAGCTTCCAAGTTGAAAACCAAGGGAATCGGCAATAAAGCTCCTTGATCCATGACGTTACTGGGAAAGGAGGAGCCATCATAGCATCTGAACAGAAGAACTTGTCTCCCGCTTCCCACCAGTTCCATACTGCACTGAGCCTCTGAGCCTGCGATTCCAGGTGAGGTCCCACTGAGTGTCTGGATTACTATTGTTCTTCGTCACTCGCCTGGGGAACATTTCACAACTGGGTTGACCCTGAGGAACATATTCGCGCATGTGGCAGATCAGCCCCTGGCTGTGAGGTCCTCCTGGGCCAAGGACTCAAGGCGTATCTGCCCAAGTGGAGAAACCAGAGAAGCTCACCCCAGGAAGAAACTCCCCTTCAAGCTCGTGCTTGACAGGAAGCGGATATGCTTCTTAAGAACTTAAGGAGACACATATTTGAAAAGTTAACCAACAAAGCGATTCTGTGGTTATGTGACTGTGGTTGCGGTGTAGATCGTTTTGACCCTGCTGGAGAGGGTGTGAAGAAGGCACAAATCAAAATGAGCAAAGGAGGAAAGGAAGAAGGAGAGTGGGGAGCTTGTGTGGTGGATTGTGGTGAAATGCACAGTCTAGAATCACAGGATGGAGGGAGAGGGCAAAAAGAAAGTGGAGCTGGGAATGTCTGGTAGGCAGGAAGAGAGCAAGTCGGACCCTCCCTAGCGGTTCACAGAGTAAATCTATCGTTATGGCAGATATTTGCTTGAGTCTGGCAAGATTCTGTCTGTAGGCAAACAACAATAAAGAAACTATTCAGAAGTAATCACTGTTCTTTGGGCCTGACATGGGTCCAGATCAAAGGAAGGGAAAGGGTCAAGAAATAAATGTTGGCAAGAACTTTAACGGGTCCCATTGTAAGACTAGGCCAGTGGTAGGCAACCTTGGCTCTTTTATGACTCGTGGACTTCAACTCCCAGAATTCCTGAGCCAGCAAGGGGGAACTATGGCCCCCTAATGACTGGTGGACTTCAACTCCCAGAATTCCTGAGCCAGCCATGCTGAGGGGAAAGGGAGAGTTTCCAAGCTGAGCCATGCCGGCTCAGGAATTCTGGGAGTTGAAGTCCACCAGTCATAAAAGAGCCAAGGTTGCCTGCCCCTGAACTAGGCTGAAGCTGCCATATCTGAAGATCATGATGGAACATAAGCCGGGTGGACACAAGCCAGGAAGGAACCAAGTTGTTAAGGAAACAAACAAACAAACAAACAAACAAGCAAAAAGTCACCTGAATCCAACAAAAGAAGTTGGGACTGAGCACATGGGCAGCCCCACCCCAACTCCCAGTAGTGTGCCTGTGTGGAAGAGCAAATAGATACACGTTGTAATCAGTAAAGTTTGCTGTTATTTTAAATTCACTGGATCTCAGTGTATTCTAAAGAACTGTTTGTGCCCCAGTGTTGGGTTGACAGTGAGTTGAGCATGGCAGTTTTCCAGGGCTGTGAGCGTGTGAGTGAGTGACCATAAGCCAAACCTGGGAGCACGCGTGTAACACCATCTCCTCCAACTAGTTGCACACCATCTCAGAAAGCTGGATTAATCAAAGGGATCTCATACTATACCCACCAACCCACAAGGCCTCTTATAGGGAATGACCTGCTTCCCACCTCGCTTGGATGTCTTAGGAAAAGGCTGGTCCCCACCACATCCCAGACTCAAATAATCCACCCATCTCAGATTAGGCTTCCAAAAGTTGTGTGAAGGCAATTATGCAAACTATCTTGCCAACCGTTGACTGACTGGAGCAGTGGGGGTCCTTTGGCAGGCATTTTTCTTGTTTATAAGTGTCATGGATGCCATGACAATTATGGGATACCTATGAGGTGCCAAGTGAAGACCATTCCATTTCCGGCTTCCCATGCTTTAAATGGGCTTTTAATTGGATTTTCAGTCACAGTGTTTTAGATTTGGAATGACTATCTTGCTGCTGCCTAATTTAAATGGTGTTTCCCATTTGCATTTGATTTTATTGCATTGTGTATGTTTTTATTTGAACGGTATGTATAGTGTATTTTTTTTTTGCAAACTCTCCATCTACAACCATTAGGCTGTTTAAAAGGATAAGAAATGAATTGATATAATGAGCTGCATCCATGAAGGTTTTGAAAAGGAGATAAAACTTGAGAAATGAGTATACCAAGCCTTTCACATCAGCAAAACCTTGAATAGATACTTGGTCAGTTCTAAGAAATATCAGTTTTTAACATAACCCACAATGCTTGGTTAGTCATTCTGTGGCTTAATGTGTCACCCAAAGATAGCCAAGATGGGGGGTTTCAGCTTGCTATTGGTATACAAATTCAAAAAGTAGGTTCACTCAGTCCCAAATTAAAGGGGTGATATGAAGAAGTCATTGGAAAAAAGGGGAAGGGGTTTTGCAGACGAGACAACATAAAAACAGAATTGGTCGGTTTGTGGTTCAACATTTCTTCAAAACCATCTATCAGTTTAGGAGATTGTGTGGACAATCTGTCAGATCCCCAAAGAAATGTATTATTATTTCTGCTAACCTATACATGCTTCTATAACCATATTTTGGGGCCTGCCATTCTGTTGGGAGGGGGGATTCCAATGTGGAATCCCCCCTCCCAACAGAATGGCAGGCCCCAAAATATGGTTATAGAAGCATGTATAGGTTAGCAGAAATAATAATATGCTTTGCTTATGCCACGTTGCTCCTCCCTCAGGGCAAGGAATGTGTCAAATACCATCACCCTTATCTGGAAGAGGGTTTGAGCTTGGAGCCGGAGGAAACAAAACTGAGAGAGACCTTGAAGAGCGCACCAAAGGAGCCAGTTACCAAAACAATATACCACCTGTGGATTGGCCGAGATTCAAACAGACAGTGGGACCCTGGGGGGAGGAGTAACGAATACTGCTTTTGATATAGTGCTTGCGCAGGCTATTTCCTCAGACCTCGCTTTGCTTCCTTGCTATCACTAACTCCCAATAAAAGTTCCTTTTGCCTGTTTCAAGAGTTCTGCTTTCTTGGGAGACCTAGTTGAGGCAGGTCCTTACACAATCCCTCCACCCTTTCTTTAAGAGCAGAAAATCCATTTTCTTAACCTGGGTTGTGGTCTTAGCATATTGTGGGAACCCAGACATAGTTGAAACCTCAGTTAAGATCTTAGCATGTTGTAGCAACCCAGCAAAACCCCTGCAACCAAAACACAAGAGTGGGGCTTCAATTAATCTACTCCGAAGCTTTTAAAAGCTTCTGTTGCACTAGTCAATGTGTAAAAACTGAAACTATTTGGTGTTTATAATGTCTACATTGCATTACATGCCTATACATGCACGGTAAATATCTCATGGCATGCAGTGATTGTATTGCTTTCATGTGGTTTAAATTATTGTTGATTTTACTATTGTGTTTGAGCTGCATCTTACTGGAAATATGCAATAAAAGCTTTTCTTTGTTTGCCTATCTATTTCTGTCAGGACTGAACTTCATCTTGATGGGGAAGAAAGCCCACCTGTCATCTCTCGGAAAACTTTGGGGGAAGCCCTTGTGGCTTTCTGCACCTTTGTTAGGATATTAAATTTAGTAGCTGGAGCAATAAAGTATACAATGGGCCAGAACAATACAGTTGTAGTTGATTGGTTGGAGAGTGCTGGCAATCTGGGCTGTGTGTGTGTGTGTGTGTTTTTGTGTATGTGTGAGAGAGGCAATCTGCACTGTGATTGGTTGCTGTGGGTGTGGAGAGGGAGGTTCCCTTTTTCCCGCCCTGTATGCTCTGAGATTTACCTCAGGATGCTCCCGCTATGTTGATTTACCTCATGAAACTCCGGTTTGCCTGACTATCTTGTCTGCTGAAAATAAAATTGTTAAATATATGTATTTATATAAAACTACAAGTTTGTGTCAGCATCTCTGACTTGATTTGGACCCCTGCAGTGCAATTCCCTGACAGTTTAGAGATTGGAGAGGGTCCCTTCCAAAAGAATAGTGGTGGGACACATCCCTGAGGCAAAGAGAGGCACTCGTGTTTATACATTTCCAAAAAAAAGGAGAGGAAAATGATCGACACCCACATACTCATAAGCAGAGCTTTTTTTTCTCATAGAACAC